CCCCCTCCAAACCCTACCCACTCTCCCAGCCCCCCCATGGCTGCCCCACCCGGCCCCAGCTCCTTCCACACAGCATGGAGCAGTGGGGATCACCCCCCTGTCTGGCAGCAGCCAGTGAATGGGTCCTTTTTATTGTTTTGTTTTGTTTTTTTAAAGAGCCAGGCACTGGGACCAGGAGAGTTGGGGCTGGGCAGGGCAGCCATTGATGGGGCTGGGACAGTGGGTGGGGGATGGGGCCAATTCGGAGATGCAGTCGACTCTCCAAATGAAATTTGGCCGAATCGATTCAGGACAGGGATTCGAGTCACCGAACTGAATCACTGTCCCCTGAATCGACTGAATCTGAATCCGAAACGAATGCTAGTCGCTTTGCACAGGCCTACTTGCTACATTATAACAATTATGTATGGACAAGCTGATAGAAACGTAACAAAACAGCTCCAACTTTAACTCTGGATGAACAAGTGGTGAAGCTGGAGTAATTTTGTTACATTTGAATTGCTCCTAGCTTGTCCACACAACTGTTCAAACGCAACAGCTGCTGCATGCTCCTGAGCAGCAGCTCACCTTTTGAAATGGTTTCAAACATGCCTGCATCCATCCCATTAGTGCATCAGCTATTCCACATTAACTGCCCATGTGTACACTCTTACCCCACAGTAAATTTAGAATACCTTATGCCATCTCTCAGTGGGGAGTGTTCGAAGAGTAGCTGATGCACTAAAAGTTCACCACAGTTTACTTTGCAGTAAACTAGTTTGTGTACCGTAAAGGAATCAAAATGTACTAAAGGTATTAAACTGCATCTCCAATGCCTTTGGATGAATTTAACACAACAAACAGAAAACCCCAACATTTATAAAATTAGCTCCACTAAGCAAATCTGATTGAAAAAAGGCATCTTTTTTCCTAACTGGTTTGTCTCTCACCACTTCTTCTCTTACATGTATGGGACCAAATATCTCTAGCTCAGTATTCACAGCCACTCAAGTGTTGTCCTTTCTAGAAATTCCAACTTCCAGAAATTACAAATGTGATAATTAGGCCCCTGCCACACATTACCCTTAAGACATGATTAGCCAGTTGTTCACGTCTTAGAGTTGCAACTCTGCCAAACGTACAATCAATTAATGGCATGATAAACAGAGGAATAATCCATAAAGCTATTCCACAAAAAGTATGCAATAACTTTGTGGCTCATTCCTATCACACCATTTACTGAATGTGTGGCCATGTGCTCTCCTGTGGCTGGAAGCCCCACCAGCTAACAGGACACCTCATGAGCTCCCATGACTTGGAGCCTGCGGCTGATGGGGCTTGCAACTGTGTGGGGATGCCCCATCTGCTCCCATAGCTGGGAGTTCCATCAGGTGACAGGGCTCCCAGCCATGGGAGTACATGGGGCACCCTGGTAGCTGCAAGTCCCAACAGCTGCAGGTTCCTAGCCATGGGACCTTCCTCATTTGCCAACCCAGGGGGAGCCCAGAATCATGACCCTGGCTCTCCATGCACCAGCAATAAAGCTTGATTGGATCCGATGTTGAATCCCACAATCACACCTCCTATCATGCACGTGGCATAGCAGGAGGTACAACTTTGTGTATCACACCTTTACCTAAATGTCTGGCAGGGCCCTTAGTGTCACAATTAAAACTTCTATTACTTGAATCTTTTATGCATCAGAAACTGAACTGAGGCAGTATCCTCAGATCAAACGGTCAACAAAAAAGTAATCAGATGGTAATGTCTTCAACTCCTAACCAAGTCAATTTGCATAGATAATTCATGGTTAAAAACCTCAAATCCCTTAACCAGGAAAACATGATACAGCGATACTTAAGACAGTTATATAATCATTAATTGGAATTCAGGGCTACAACATAATCATCATAAAAAGACAACCACTAGCTCTCCCATTACTGTCACTCCTAGCCTTAAAGGATGAAATGACAACTAAAAAGTAAGAAATCTTTTTTAAAAACTTGATTAAGGGTCACAATCTAAAACCATTTTGATCTTTTCATGTACTTACAGTTAACTGGCCAGCCACTCCAAAATCAGCTAATTTTGCATGCCCCTCAGTATTAAGGAGGATGTTTCCTGCTTTTATATCTCGGTGTATTTTCCTCATGAAGTGTAAATATTCAAGTCCTTTAAGTGTAGACTTAAGAATGGTTGCAATTTCATCTTCTGTTAACTATGGAAACAAAATAAAACATACAAAATAAAGTGCTTTTCTTCTCCCGTACAAAATTAAATGATGTTACAGCCTAGAAGACCATAATTCCAATTCTGTAAACTGCTTCATAATAACCATTTATATAAACAGACAAAAGTTTTAGTAGCTATTTTACAGAAACGAGACAGGACCACATCCAAGAAAGTTCGTAATTTATGACCCTATCCATGCAATCAGATCCAGGCAGCTGGATCTTTGCACGTACAGGCATACCTCGGAGATATTGCGGGTTCGGTTCCA